GGGGGCATCACCTTGGACAGGCCCAGGGGTGGGCTAGAACCACGGGTCTGCCCAGGAGGCCGCCTTTACCCATCTTTCACCCCAATAGGTAGTCCCAGAACTGGGCAGCCCAAGGAGATGGCGGCATGGTCTGGGGGGGGGGGGGGGCAGTGTATTGCTCAGCTAAGGTTGTGCATGGGTTTGCAGATTGTGAGGGGGTATGTGCCCAGGTGGGGGAAGGTTGCCCAGCCTAGGCTCTTGGGCCTCGTCTTCCTCTGAGAGCATGTCCAGCCCACCTCCCCAGAGTTGCAAAGTTTGTCTGGAGAGAAAACACTGCAAGGACTACAGGCACTCCCCATCCCAGGCTGAGTGCAGGAGGGCAGCCCCACGGGGTCCCTGGCCCACGAGCCAGCAAGGACAAGAGCACACGGGCAGAAGCCAGAGGTGAGAGGGCAATGAATGCTGTCTTTATTGACACCACAAGAGTAACAAGTTGTATGACGAGGTACAAAAACTGGGCTCCGGGTGAAGTGGAGGTGGAGTCGGCCTTCAGGACACAGTTAGCCGGTGCAGATCCACCTGACAGAACAAAATGAGAACACTTCTGACCCCACCAAGCGAAGGAAAGACCCTGGGAGGTCCAGACAACGGGACAACCGATGAAGTTACAGAAGAAACAGGCGGCTGCTCCAAGGGGCACCCGTCCACGCAGGCCCAGGCGTCGGGTGGACGTGGCGCTACCCCCGGGCCTGTGATGAGCTCTCGGGTGAACAGGGTCAGCCCCCGCGTATGTGTGTGTTCTGTGTGTGTCATTCTCAGAAACTGGAAAATAGAGCCTCCACCATGGAGCACACACACCAAGAAACAAACAGAAACTGTCACTTTCTTTTCTTTCCATAGGAGACTTTTAATTATGTCAGAGACAAAGTGAGCTGAGCTAGGAACAAGCTCGCTTCATTACAAGGAAGAAATGGTTTCCTTTCGGTGCAAAGTAAAATTTGAAACCACAGTGTTCGCACAGTTCACGACGGCTTAAAGTGAAATCTTAGCCATACATGATCTAAAAAGGAATAAAAAAGGGCAACGCGCTGTGCGGAAAGGGGTGCTCTGGGGCCCCCCAGTTCTCCATCGGCACCAAGGGCCACGGGGCCAGGAGGGCTGTGCTCACCTCGCCCCCAGCCCAAGAAGATAAAGGAAACAAAGGAAACAAAACAAAACAAAACTCCTCCAAATCAAATGAAGAGACAGGCAGTTCACTTGAATTCTGCGAAGTTCCCCTAAAACACTGTTTCCACATAAATACAATAAACTCTATTATGGTATGTCACAAGTGTTAGATAAACTTTTTTTCTTAATATGACAAATGTTTAAGTAGTCCTTTTTATTTTTCTTACAATAAAAAGTACAATTTCTTAAGAATAAGTTCAATAAGACGCAAACGTTCCCCCCTCTCCTCCAAGGGTTTGCTACGTTACAGAAAAATCTCCATCTTTTGAGTCAGCAAATGTCACGAGAGGGGAACACAAAGGCATTTTTCTTCTCCCCCAAGCTGCCGAGTTCGGCGTGCAAATCTGTGTACAATATAAAGACATGCCGGCCGTACAGTCATGCAACCTCCGGGTGTAGGAAACTTAAAAAAATATACTCATATATATTTATATATATATTTATATATGTATCAATGCCCATAAAACACGTGGGCCCAAAGTCTACAAAAAGAAGAATGGAATGAGCACGCGGCTGTGACCAGGAAAGGAGGAATGTTCCGATGGAAAATTGAAAACAACCGACTCTGAGGCTGGTGCTGCCACCCAGACTCCCAGTGTCAGACCGATACAAAAGGGTCCTTCCTCTGGAAACAGACTTTAAAAGAAAGAAAGAAAAACTGAAACACGTTGACAAAGAGGCCCTTTGGAAGCCGGGTGCAGTCCCGGATGGCTGCCTGCTGGTGGGGCTCAGATGCGTCGTGGCGGGAAAACTGAAAGGGCCGGGTGGCACCCGGGCCCGCGGCATCAGTTTCCCGTGAAGGGCTATAAAGTGCTCACTTGCTGACCCCCAGCCTGTGCCCCAAGGACTTTGCAAAGGAAGAAAAAGGCTAAGGTCCAAGGACCAAAGAGGGAGGGCGGAGGGGCCCTCCTTCACGCAGGGTCCTGCCCACACTTGGCAGGCCCTCCGCCATCTGCCCTGGACGGTGGCCGTGGAGAGGGGCTGAGTGTCTTCACAGAAAAAAAAGGCTACATGGCTCTGCTTTCTGCACGTCTGTGAAGCTGGAGTGAGCTGACAAGCGAAACAGGCTCCCTGTGGGACCTGTCTGCAGGGTGTCTCTGTGAGAGTGGAAGTAAACCCCCAGGGAGAATGTGGCCACCAAGAGGTCTAGGCCATCTGATCATCTGTAAAAAGGTCAGATGTCGCATTCCTCCCGAGAGCCAGGGCTGGCAGAGCAGGCAGGTGGCAGGGGTCCCCGGAGGATCTTGAGAAGGGAGCTGAGAAACCACCAGCGGGGCCCCGCACTGCACTGCGCCACTCCGGGAAGGATGGCACCGATCCCTCCTGAGCTCCTCCTGCCAAGTGGGCCTTAGGGCAGAGTGGCCAGAGGGGAAAGGAGCCAAACGTGCTCCACGGCCCTCTTGTCCTACCTCAACCCACTGTCCTATTTCTGACCAACAGCATCCCCATGACCAAGCCAATCCAAGCATTTGGATTCCTTTGGTCAACACCCAACTGTGTCAGTGGCTCTCAGAAGCTACCCTGTGAATGTCACCAAACTCAGAGGCTTGGCTGGGGTTCCCTCCTGGGGCACGCTGGGTCTGCATTTCCCCTACGAGTCTGAGCTCAATACACACTTGGGAATGAAAGCGGTGGCTTCAAGTTCTGAAAATAAGTTACCAGTAAAAAGTGACGTTCCGTTTCTGTCAGGGAGAAAAAGAGCAAAGGCCGGCTGTGCTGCTCAGGAGTCCGGAGTCCCCCACAGGCTCGCCAGGCAGCAAGGGCCGGGCCACGTGGCTGCAGCGGAAAAACCTGGACTGGCGCCGGGCCATGCATTGCTGACATGCTTAAAAGGTCTTTGGAAAACTGAAGCTAGTCTGACGACATGGTCAGAGAAGTTTAAATGAGTTTTAGGAAAGCTGACGGCCTGCAGTGTCTGGCAAGTAACAGTTCAGTGTCACGAGTGGGCCTCTCCACACCTGCCACGGAGGGAAACACACCACCCGGTAATACTACTGGCGAGGCAGGAGAAGCCCGCCACCACCGACAGCCCAGATCCGCACGCAGGCGACGCTCTTTCTGAAAATAAACTCGATGGCAGCAGTTCTGTTTGGAGAAAACTGTTCACCATACAAACAAAAGTGAAAATAAAAAACACGTTGAAAGTTAAAAAAATGTACAAGCGAAAATTTAGAAAGGAAAAAGGTTTAGACATTATTACCATTCAGAAAACTGCTAAATGGTGCAAAAAAGAAAAAAGAAAAAAAAAAGTGAAATTCACAAAACAATGCTTATTCAGGATCTTTTTGTGAAAAATTCATACAAAAATCAACAGCAAATTTATATTTCTTGCTATAAAAACTTATTAGATACATATGTGGGTGGAGGTGTGGAGCGGGAGGGGTCTGTTAGAAAATAATTAAAATGAAATACAAACGTGTGGTAGTTGCCAGTGGCGAATGTGCTGGCGATCTGAAATCGATCCAATCTGGACTTCAAACTACATGAGTTCAAACTAGATCCCTTTCCGTAAGCACCTTGGTAGCTAATTCACAAGTCGTTCATTCCCAGGGACTTTGACAACCTGCATTTATTATATATATATATATATATATATATACTTCTTCTATAAATGCATTATAAATATTTTATCAAGATTTCATAAGAATCAAGTTTCTTAGCTTGGAATACATTGGAATATATATTATACATATATATATTTATTTATACCTAAAATTTAAGCAGTACTTCATGCTACTTGCTTTTAATAAAAAGCATTCCAACCGTAACACTGAAGGTGTGCCTAGGACATGCTTCACAACCAATGGAGATGCTCAACTGTTATATGACGTATGAGAAAAGAACACTTTGGATTCATTTAAAATTTGTTAGACTTCAAAACTCGCAACAGTATTTGCCACTTTTTGGGAACTACCTCCATTTTTCTTCCACAACAATAAAGCAAAAGGAGGGCGGCAGGTTGGCAGCCTCTGGAGCCGCCGGCCGCAGCCTGCACCTGCTCTCCAAGCCCTGGCCAGCACGGGGCAGCCTCCTGCCCCATGGGCACTGCCAGCCCCACCAGCCACAGGACTATCCCATCAATTCCTGCTGTTTATTTTTTTCTTAAGGCATTGTTCCTCAGACTTCAGAAAAACCCAGCCACAAAAATCCATCAGAGCGATAAAAAAAAGGCACAAACTTGCATCTTCCGATGGCTTTGAGAAAGCAAAGCCGGCTCCTGCAGGCTCACATTTCCATTTTTGTCCATTTTTTTTTTTTTTTTTTCTTAAATGCTCATCCACTCTGTCCCCCACCCGGCTGCAAACCCCACCACATACCGCTCTGGTTCACAGAGGCAGGCCAGAGCGATAGAAAACGTTCTCTTTAAAAAGTAAGCTACAAGATGAGTGGTTTACACGGAGACTGTGGAATTGTGGGTAATTAATCATCAAACTTTAAGCACCAGTTTTGATCAAGTTTGTGTTGTATTGTTAGATCTTTGATTTTCATTTCCTTTTCCTCATGTCAACTAAATCGGGCAACTCTGCCACGAGCTGCCGCAGGCTTCCTCCCTCTTCGGCATCCCTCGTGGGAGCCGAGGGCGAGCCTGGTGCCCTGCATGTCGGTGTCTGCTCTTCCCGGCGTCTGTCCCGGGTTCTGTGTAAGGCTGCCCTGCCCGGTGAGACCTGGGGTCTGGGCCCCTGGCGCACCTGCGGATTCTGAGAGAACGCCTGGCAGGATGCAGAGAAACAGCAACTTTTCTTGGCGGAGCTTCAAGACAGACAGACAAACAAGAGTCGCAGCTGTGGGCATGGTTACAGGGGCGGCTCCTCTTCCATGGGCTCCTCCTCAGGCCTGTGGCAGTGGAAAGGAACACGGCAGAAAAGAGAAAGGACAGATGGAGGGTTAGAGGCAGCACTGCAGGGCCTTCTCTGTCTGTCGTCTGCCCCTCTTCCCCCAACAGAACTGTTCTCCCCATCCCACCTCCCACCTCCCACGTCCCACCTTCAATTCCTGGCTCCTAATCAGGTGTTACTGGGCCACCTGCTCAGGGATAAATGCTCCCCACTACACCCCGTGTTTCAAAGGGCCTTCCACACTGGAAAGATGTGTTGGATGGGGACACTTGATCCCCCCATGGCCTTGAGAGGGCCTCAGATGCAGGAGCTGAGACTCGGCTCTCCATCAGAAGGCGTCCCCTCCATGCAGTGCCACAGGCCAGGCCCTGCAGTGCTCACCTCTTCTCAGCAGGCTTCACACCTACGGACAGGGAGGCCATGGCGGTGACTGTCTCGGCTTCTTCATTCTCACGCTTCTGGGCCTCGACCAGGGAGTAGGCCACAGTGGAGGGGAGGCGCTGCAGGGAGCGCCAGTACTGGCCTGGGTAAAGGAAGCGCTTGGTTACAGACACCACGGGACTGGGCCCAGCAGGCTCTCCATGACCCTGTCCCTGACTCTAGGAGCTGGAGGGGGCATGGGAAGACTGCCACCCAGTGTGGAGGGAATTCCGAACTGGACCTCCCAAGACCACGGGAGTGCTCCTATGTGGCCTCAGAGTAAGGGGACCATGCAGGGGGGGCTGGCCTGGCCTAGAGCCAGCCTCTCGGTGTTTTCTGGCACCCAGGGGCTTCTCATCAGGACAGAGGAATAGCTCAGCTCCAAGGCTAGGAGGGATCCAACACCCGTGCAGGACACACAGGTGAGACCCCTGGTTTCCACCCACCTAGACGGACAGTCTCCACAATTTGGGCCATCCAAAGGACCCAGGTCAAAATGAGCTTTGTAACAAGGGTAGCTAGCACACCTATCTGAGTCACCTGGCTGTGTGTCCCAGCACCTGATGTTGGAGGGGAAGTACTAAGAAATAGGGAGCCCTGCATCCCACACTGAGTCTGCGGGAGGGGTGGAGTTCTCGGGCCAGGGAAGAGACCAGACTTTAGGACACAGTTCACGCCCTGGCCCCACCCTGCTAGCTGGGGACCTGGAGCAAGTGACTTCCCAGTTTTTTGAAGGCAGGCTCTTTTGTGACATGGAGGTGATGACACATTGTAGTGGGCTGTGGGGAGCGAGTGGGGGTTCAACCAGTCTCCACCAGCTCATCAAATCTGGCTGGAAGCGAGGCCTGTCTTATAGGCCCAGGACGCAGCCGGCAGTGACACGAGAGGAGCCCAGGACGGGGACTCGGGGCCGGGGAGTCCTGTACTCTTCCTCCCACAGGAGAATTTCTCGGCCAGAGATCTGGCCCGGACAACTTACTGTGAATCTCAATGACCTTCTCCATGGACCGGACAGCGTTAGCATTGGGTCTCTGCTGTAAAACCTTTTCTGGGAGAGGATCGAGCTGCAAAAGACATGTGACTGTATGGTTAATATAACCCCGTGCACATCAGGCAGGCTGTTCACAATCAGCACTTGTGTCTTAAGTGCACTTGCCAACGGCGAAGAAACGTAAGTTTAACAGCCAGATGTGGGCTTCAGATTTATCACATAAACTTTTACAAAAGGGAACTTATTTTCCTTAGGGCACTTTGCTTAGGAAACTCTCAGGGATGCTTGTGGTTCTCAGGTAGCAGGGCCACAGAGGGTGCCCGGGAGGGGCTGGTGCAGACTTCGGCATGAGATCAGGGGGATAACTACCACTTTTTGGGAACATCACTTTCACATTCCTGGTATTTTAAATAAAAATGCTTGACTACTCCCTGGCAATGGTTTTCTTCTAATAACAAGGGAAAAGGTAAATCGAAGAAAAGTATTGAGCAGAACAGAAGGAATCTCTGCTCTAGGCGATTCCCTAAGTGCTGGCGGCAGGTAGCGGAACCCACACAAGGCCAGAGGGTTCCAGGGCAAACCAGAGTGGCTACAACAGAGCATGAAAACACAATGATTAAAAGAACTTTAAATAATTGGATAAGCCTCTAAACCCTGGAGAGACCTGGGGGCTCGGTGGAAGCTGGAACCCACTGAGACACACTGGGGACAGGTGGGCTGGAAGCCCAGAGCCCCAGGATGAGCCAGGGAGGGCAGATGCACAAACGTGATCGCAGAGACGACTGTAAGCAGTTTTGTTCTTAGCCTTGGCTCTGGGTAAAAGCTGAGAACAGAGGCACCTGAGATAATGCCAGGTAAACACGAAGCATGCAGACCTGCACTTGCAGTGGTGGCTCTGTGACAGGCACAGCAACTGTCCATCCTCCCATAGGCGCACGGCCCCGAGGCTGCCAATCAGTGCTGCCAGCTCAGTTCCAAGGAGCACGGCCTCCCGATCATGAAGCACAGAAGCCAGCGAGCTGCACTTGGGCCAGGAGCAGCAATCTCGGCCTCTAATACCACCCTCCAATGAAAGGAACTGGCTCCCTGGAGACAGGCTGCTCTAGGGCAGCGGGGAGAACACGGAGGAGCCTGGGCGTCTTCCAGTGCAGAGTACAAAAGAGCTAAAGACAGATGCCAGGGCTCGTCCGAGGGACACACAAGGCCAGCAGGAAACGGAATACAAGACGCAATACTGAATCATAATCCCGAGTCTGACATGAACAGCCAGCTCAGTTCCAAGGAGCACGGCCTCCCGATCATGAAGCACAGAAGCCAGCGAGCTGCACTTGGGCCAGGAGCAGCAATCTCGGCCTCTAATACCACCCTCCAATGAAAGGAACTGGCTCCCTGGAGACAGGCTGCTCTAGGGCAGCGGGGAGAACACGGAGGAGCCTGGGCGTCTTCCAGTGCAGAGTACAAAAGAGCTAAAGACAGATGCCAGGGCTCGTCCGAGGGACACACAAGGCCAGCAGGAAACGGAATACAAGACGCAATACTGAATCATAATCCCGAGTCTGACATGAACAGCCAGCTCAGTTCCAAGGAGCACGGCCTCCCGATCATGAAGCACAGAAGCCAGCGAGAAATGATCAGTTTTAAGCTATAAAGCAAGCATGGAAGCAACAACTGCAAATGGCCCAGATGCAGCCCGGAGACTGGAATAGGTGCTGACCTCAAGTCCCTGAGGGAGTGGCAGGCATCATCACAGGTGCCCACACAGAGGGCATCCTGATGGACCACTGGCACCCACGCTCAGTTCAGGACGAGGTCAAGACCCGAGCTGAGGAATTTTAAAGGGAAACCCACTCTCAGCACATTGGATTGAACCTGTGGAAAATTCTACAAGCAGCTGGACAAAACTATCGTCAGAGGAGCAGCACCAGCCAGACAGCGCTGGATTCATAGCAAAGGAGCAGGAAGACAGTGGTGTGACCTCTTCCGCACGCCAAGAGAAAAACTCACTGAGCAACAGGGAGGGTGAAACAAAGGCTGTAAAACAACACGCTGGGAAGGTTCGCACACAAGTGTTTCCCAAGGGAGACTCTGAGCTGTGCTGAAGGCAGAATGAAAATGACCCAGTGGACTGAGAAATGAGGAGGCACAAGGAGCAAAGAAAACAGCATAGGAGCAGGATGGCCAAGTAAACAGGCCGCACGGCACAGTGGTAGTGACACAAGTGGGAAAGAATACTAGTCATGACTGCACAGATCCGGGAGGGGCTGGGCTGCCCACCTACAGACAGACATACCAGACACCAGTCACACTTAAAATGTCCGATGAGCCAGTCATGTTTTATAAGCCTGTTCATCTAAGTGCCCTGCATTTAATCTGTGATGTCCCCTGTAGACAGAGCAGCCCATACCCTGGTTGCACAGGGAAGGGTGAGGTTACAGACGGAGTCAAGGTCACACACTAACATTTTTAAGGATCATGAGTGAGAGAATTTGATTGGCTGTATCTTCCCACTCAAGAGAGAGGACAAATGGAGTCCTGTGTCGAGAGCAGGCATGGAAAGAGAAAAGAGAGCCAAGGCAAGGGGCAAATAGCACAGAATCAAATGGTGGAAATGAATCCAAACAAACCAAACAACCCGCACTCAAACCAATAGTCACAACCAAAGTCTCCGCCCAAAGCACAGGTTGTGGCACTGGATCTAAAGATAACAGGATCCCTGCCTCAAGCTAGATACAAGAGACATCGGACAGGTTGAGGGGTGAGGGGGAGAGGGGCTCCACAGCGAGGAGACACTGATGTTCTGCAAAACCTGCGAGAGGAGGCTGGCGTGGAGTCTGCTGCACTGGGGCCGACAGATTGAACTGGGCACAAAGAAGGTCACCGTGTGATGATAGAAATTTCAATTCATCAAAAGGATATAAAGATCTAACATTTGTACTTATTTAGCAAAATTGATTTAAAGTGTATGAGATAAACTTGGCGGACCTAAAATTAGATATGGGGAAAGGTACCATCACAGTGGGAGACTGACTTCTTAGAGAAAACTAAAACGTGGGCAACACAATTAGTGAGTGTGGCTTAATGGACATAAAGAAATACATTTTAAAGAAGAAAAAAAAAAGATGCTGTAGCTGAAGGTTGATTCTTTGAAATTACCCATTAAGTAGACAAGTGCAGCAAGACTAATGGAGAAACTAGAGACACAAACAGAGTGAAGGGTAACAGGCCCCAGATTCAGCATACATAAAGACAGTGAGATGCTGTCGGAAACTTGGCTGAAAGGGTAAATTATTGGTAAAGTATAACTTTCCAAAATTAACTCAAGAAGAAATAGAAAAACCTGAATGGATGACCAAAGCCACTAAAGGTACTGAATTAATTATTTAAAATCTTCACCCAAAGGAAACCAAGGGCCCAGGAGAGCCATCCCAGTCAAGAAGAACAGACTATTCTGATCCTACACACTCTTCCAGAGACAGAAAAAGAGGGGACTCCTATTGTCCACCTACCCACCCTTCCCACATATGTAGACACCCTTCCATCCATTCACCCCTCATCCTATCCATCCATTCACCACCACCCCCATCCCGTCCGTCCTTCCAAACATGGTCTAATATAAAAAACTGGAAATGACATGGTCTCCATGAGAAGCCCAAGTGGCCCAGCATGAAAAGATGCTCAGCCCCGGGCGACAAGATGACCATCCACCAGTGCTGTTTTGCTCATCACGTTGGCAAAAATCAAACGTGGGGATGCCAGCGTTGCTGAAGTTCCTCACCCACTGCTAACACTGACATCACCTTCCAAAGGTGAGCAAGGGTGTTTCCTGGGAGCACGGCTCCCTCTGCTGGCGTTTACCTCAGAGGCACAGGTGAGCACTGCTCTGGGCTGCAGTCACTGTAACCACCAAAGGGAGTGACTCAGCTCTGCTCTACTGTGGCCTCACCAGGGAGAGGAGCAGTGTTCCCAGGGCACGGGCCCTTTGTTGAGAAAGATGAGGGGCAGGGCCTCAGGCCCTCGCTGGACATGACGCTCCAGCAGAAAAGAAGCCGTTGAGATTTTGGGGTTATTCAGTACAGCCTATGTGTCCCAATCATTAGGTCCCAACTTGAATATTTTGCCAGAATTTTGTTTTGCCAGTGTTTTAAAAGGAACGCACTGCGTAAGTTATCAGTCATTCTGAAGCAGAGGGGAGCATTAGAGTGTGCATGTGCACACTCAAGAGGAAGTTGTTACTACTGCTGCTGCTTTCCCATCTCCAGTTGGCTCCCCATGCCACTCTCCCAGTGGGATGGATACAATGGTGGTGGCTAGCCTTCCAGGGTTATAAGTCACCTCCTCCTGTCACTCTCAGCCCCTCATGTCTTAGTCCTGTGACATGTCACTGCTGGCTAGGACTCCCCCTCCCCCCTCCACCATCACCCATTCCTGAGCATTAGTGCAGCACCTGAGACTCACTGTCTCTGTCTGGGGGTGGAGCTCTCCTAGGCTTGTGAAGTAAGGCAGGAACCATGAAGGGTCCTGCCCTGAGCTCCCACCCCTCTCCCATGTGAAGTTACATGGAATTCAGGGGAAAGAACGGAGTGATCTAGCAGGAGAGTGATCTCTGAAGACCGTTTCCCTGGGCAGTGGACAGGAAAGCCAGAGGTGCTTCCTGTGCATGAAGGAGAAAGGGAAACGAACTCAGGCCAGCACCAATGGCAGGGACTGGGTGTGTTTCTACTGGTTTCATTGAAGAACAAAGGGAAGGTAAAAGGGCGATAGTGGACCTGGGCTTTTAGGGCAAGGCTGCTATGCCTAAGTGGAATAAAGCATGAGTGATGAGATGCTACTGGGTTGTACTGAACCAATTCTTTCCACGAGCCTTTATGGGCACCTCCTAGTGCCAGGCTCTGCTCCACCGCCAGAGACACTGACTGCTTCTGGTCTGGACTTAAGAAAAAGGAGCCAGGAAGAAGGGACTCACCCCTCAAAGATTTACTAAAGTCTGACAACACTGGTGGCTCAGAGGGTTCTCTGCTGCACCTTTGCCTCCTCCCGTCTTCCTGTGGCTGCTTTCAGAGGGGCCTCCTAGGC